AGAAAAATAATTTTATATATAATAATATTAATAAGAATAATAACAACATCTATAAAAGTGCACGCTAGGGGAGATCTTATGTGCACAATTCTTTAGGGGGAGGTCTGGTGGGAATTTTCCCCAAGGTAAACTTTGCTGCTGTAAACTGTTCTTTTTCCTCATCAGTTAACTGGTCAAGTGGAGTGTATCTAGATTTATGTGGTCCAGCACTTGTAGACTGTGTATGAGATTGTGGTAGTTGTCCTCCTAATTGTGCTTGCTGAGACAAGGGTGAGCCAAACCCAGAGGGCTGAACACCTCCTGATTGTGTTAGGTGTGATGCAGTCTGAGTTGGTTGTGAACCAGATTGTGCCTGCGTAAACCCTTGCACTTGTGCCTGCGGTTTTCCAAATAGAGAACTCTGCTGTATGGCAGCACCACCACCAAATGTCGCCTGGCCCCCAAACACAGACTGACCTTGACCTGGTGACCCTATCTGACCTCCAAAGAGACCTTGACCTTGATTTGAAGAGCTGAACAGCCCTGTACCAGAGCTAGTCTTTCCAAACAATCCAGTATTGTTACTATTGTTAACACCAGGTGACGAACCTCCAAAAATGGTGCTGGTTGGTTTTCCAAAGAGAGATGTGACGGGTCCCCCTGACGCAGTAGGATTTGGCTTGCCAAAGAGTCCCGTGGTGCCCCCACTGGCACCTTGGCCACCACTTCCTACCCCGAAGAGTCCAGCACTGGCAGTAGCAGTTCCAGATGGTCCCTGGGTCTGACCTCCACCAAATATGCTTTGGGTCATGCCAGTGGAGCTGCTCTGTGTTCCCCCAAACAACCCAGACTGGCCTCCGAATCCTGGAGAACCAAAAGTACTGCCACTGCCACTTAAGAGATAGAAACAGGGACATTAGAGATGGTAACTAAACATATGGTAGGTAGAATCTTGTTTAATGAAGAGAAAATATAGTTCCAGATTAAAACATGACCAGAATGATTAATTCGTTGCAAAGAAAAACATAACCTCCTTGGCGGAGGTAATAATTCCCAAACTCTGATAAGCCAGGAATAATTTGTTCAATGAAAAAGAAATTATCCCAAACAAAGGTATATGGTCAGATGAACATTGTTTGAGACAAAAAAAGTTCTAATTGTCACAGTGCTGTGCAATAGACTGTAATTTAGTACAAATTAGAGAAAGCATCCAAATAAAGTATCCTTGGTTAAATTCTATCAACTTTTATTTGCTGTCCCATTGCACTTGCTAGTCAACAATTATTTCTGACCCCACTCTCCCTTAATCTTGGGAAATCTCACTTGAGGTTACATTATGTAGAAAGACTTTGGGCTATCTTGAATCGCCTTCATTATTCTTCCTTACCTTGTGGATTTCTGTCTGGCATTCTCAATCTCCTGAAGCTGGAAATAAAATAGACATTTCTTAAACCAACAAAAAGAAAGAAAATAAAGAATGAAACACAATAATAATAAATAATAATAATAAAAACAGGAATAAAATCAAATGAAATAATCAACTGTATATAGCAAGTCAACTGTACAAATCGTTAATAGCACTAGTCTTATTATCACACTTGTTGCATTCATTATATATGTCATTTTTGGTCCGTCATCTCACCAAAATACAATTATTCCTCCAAAATTTCAGAAGACATAATTCCCTAAGTACCAAGCTATCTACTTGGAAATGGTGCTTCATATTCAATCCAAGTGCAGGAATGAGTTGAGCAATGGATTTGCCCAGGATATTTTTTTTCCTCTAAGAAAATAAGATTTTGCCTTCAATAGTTCCACAAATAATGCTTTTAATAATTTTGTTTGAAGCAAGGAGTTATAACAGAAGGAGATTACACGCGTGGGGGCGGAGCCCGTATTACGGTCTCTCATTGGTCGGAATGAATAGAACCCAGAGAACAATGGATGCCTATCTCTGTTACGCTTAATTGTTGCTCTCGTTTAAATCTCGTTTGTTAGTATCTGTGCCTTCGTCTGTTGATTTTTGAGGACAGAAACAGAAACGGAGTCCCAAGTTTCTAAAAAATGAGAGAAATACAGAATTTATATGATATTACGTTGGACAAGGTTTTCAAAAAACAGGTAAGTGCTTTTAAATGCATAACTACACGAAATATGAAGATAAATTGCAACTTTTATGTCGTAGGGTCTCACTGTGTAAGTGTCCAGCTACACGTTGATCTCGCGAGGTGGTGTGTGGAGAATAAATATTGCACGAAAAATATTTCCCACTCATAACAAGTGCCTATAAATATAGTATCAGATGAAGAAAGTTTGGTCTTTATACAGTTGCAATTGTTAAGTAATTT